TTTCCAGCGCAACATGCTCACCTTGGAGGTCTTCAGCGATGCGGCTATGGGAGATCAATGCCAACGTGGTCATCAAGGTTTGGTGGCGGTTTATGGGGGTTCCCCAGTACAATGGAATTCGCGGCAACAGCCTTTTTTGGTGCTTGGTGAATCAATTTTATCAATAATGGAGATCTTGGAGAATAATTAATTGTGTGAAAAAGGTAAATGAATTCTGTATGGGGACAGTATGTCGGACTTGAAATTCCTGGAGACTCCTGATGGGCCTTGGCGCATCCGATATCTTCGCCTTCGAAATTATATTCTCCGTGAACTTATTCAGTGGGGTCTTTGGAAGGCGCGGCATCTTCCTGGCAGCGAGCTGGCATCAGACCTGCTGACGAAGCCGGTCACTTCACCTTCGGCTTGGCAGAAGTTCTATGACTTCATGGGCATGGTGGTCAACGCCGGTCAAAAGCTGGAGGATGATGGAGTGATGCCAAAGAGCTCTACTCGTAGTGGTTTAGCTAGCATGATAGCTGCAGTTAGTGATTTAGTAGGTTTGGCAGCTTGGGAGCCGATATGTGAAACGGCCAAGGTAGCTAGGTTGATGGCCATCACGGCCTTGGTAACCCATTTAGCTTTAAAATATACCCCATGAATAGGAGGAAAAAAAAAAAAAATCCGGATCTGAGGGAACATGAACCCAGGCCAATCAAAGGCGATACAGAGGAAAATAAATTTATATTATAACATAAAATAAAGGACCATGAGCCCGCTTCATCCTATTGTAGCCCCGAGAGCTCCCCAGTTGCTCCGCACTTGTATACTGTTCGGGCACCGCCGCTTGGGCCAATGCCATGGGAATTTCCGGAATTCAACCAATCGTCATCTGCGGCGAATAATAACTTGTGGATCAACCTCAATGGTGGGTGGGTGATGAGGGTTTATCGGTTAAAAAGCCGGTTGTTCCACCCGATCCATCGCAATTATCCGGTCAGAATCGAAGACTTGGAGGCCAAAAGGATCTCTGTCATCTGGTGGTCAAGTCCTCGCGGCTGGGAGCGAGCGTTGCAGGAGGATCAATGGTTCCATGGTCAAATACCGCCGCAGCCCCCGGTAACAGGTCAATAGAAAAGTCGGTTTTTCTTTCGCCTTCGAGAAAATACTTAAAACGGGCAAAATTCGTCTGGTATATCCCACATATAACCTGATACGTAGGTATAGATGCCTGAGAACAAACGGGTGTGGAATATGCCGAGGCAAATCGGCAAGTTTTCGGGAAGTAGAAGAAGAATCCAGGTCGATGCCATCGGACGAGGTGTAGCAGCTTTTATATCGATGGGGACTTTAGACAAGTCTCGTATAAGACGAGCTCTTTAGGAAGCTGGTCTGTAGCTAGCTCAGGTGGTTATAATAGTCCGCCTTCGTCTATATCTTCGGCATTTTCAGCGGCTCCGGTTATAAGATCAACTGGCTCTTTGGATAGATCCTCGAGCTCTTCAGCGATGTAGGGGCCTACAAGGAATTTATTAAGGAGCACTGTCTTCCCTCCAAGGATTCAAGTTTACCAACGAACGTTAGCCCTATAAATCGGTGGAATAATAGGTCAGCGCTAAATATCCAGAAAGGAAAATCGATCCAAGAAAACACACTTCGGGCCTTGCAGGCACCACTTCCTCCAGATCTTCATCCCAAACGTCCTCGAGAGGACCCAACAGGCCGCAAAACCCGATACTTGCGGTCAAATCGTTCTAAAGTCAGCGATGTAATACTCTAGGACTTCCTTCATGGAACTACTGTGGAAGGGGGAACTGATGACGATCAGGACAACGAAGAGGCGGTTGAGTCCGACGAGGAAACCAGCGATAGTGTTTACTCTGTGGTAACCCATCAACTAGCCGATCACGTTGCTAGCCCGGAGGATGTGTTCGCTGACATGTGAGCCGCTCTTAGCTCTCTTTTTGGAATGGCTCGAAGCAGCCAATGGAATCTTTTGGAAATTTCTTTTGGCCATAAGCCGACTTGGCACTTTCTTAATTGCTGTGGAACAGCAAGGGGGAGTGTGGATGATCCAGTCGTCCTACACTTAAAATCGAGAAGTATAACAAGTTTTCTTTTTGGAATTGAGAAGATTAGCATGGCCCCTGCATAGGAAACCAATCGTGTGCAGCATGGCCTTCCCTGCCAAGGGTAATACACACATATCCCTTAGCGCTACTTTCATGGCTCAAGAAAAATAGGAACGGTGCAGCTCAATGGCGCGGTACCTGTGCCTTCACAATAATAATTCAATAATTTAGTGTCCAATATCTATAAAATTTGAATCAACATAGATTTTTGTTTTTCAATAGATATTTTATTAAATATAATCCTAATCAATTACCATATAGTATAAAAATATGATTTAATAAAGGATTTAAAAAATAATTAAATAATAAATATTTATATAATATATAATTATACATATATTATCAAATATATTATTGACTTAATTTCCATGATATGTTTTGCGCTAAGAATCAGCCGATTGTTGCGATAGGTCTCAATGACCTTTCACATCTCCGCAATGCTTTTGTGACTCCTTCACGAAGGGCCTGGGAAGGTTGGAACCAGCTGGTCTGCCAAACAAAAGAACATATATCACATGGGCGAAAATAAGATGCCAACCAATTTTCAATGATGCGATTATTAATGTCATGGAATTAGATCTTCACAGTTTTGGGGTGAAAAACAGAAATTACTCCAGTCTTGCCATTAAAGGGGGATTCACGTTCTGCGGAGCCGCAACTGCCATAGAGGCCATGATCTCTCCTTCTTGGCTGGATCACAGCAGTATATTTTACCCCGCTTCTCTGTAGGATATAAAGCACATCGTTTACCGGGTATTTAAATCCTACTTTCCAGACCATGTTTCTGACATGTTCTTACACTCCAAACGAACATTGCGGCAAAATGATCCATTTAGAGATCATACAAACCTATGAAGAAATGATGATTTCTATAGCTACTGGTGGATTTTGAAGAAATCCTGCACCACCAAAAGGATGCTTGAAACCCTATAAATAATGGGATGTTTACCATCTATCAACTGGTGATTCGGATTTTGCTGGCCCATCCACCGTATGATCGCCTCGTCCGTGCACTCAACGCTGCGAAGAGGGAAGTTCATGGAGACATGACTTCCGTCCACCTCCGCAAAAAAGCGGGTACCCTCTGGTAATTTAACGTAGCTATTGGAAATGGCTATTTCTAGTTGAAATACCTATTAAAAATGGTGGATCTTTCCAGTCCGCAAACGGTTAATTTACCGGGTAAAGTGTCACCCTTTGGGAAACTCTGGGGGAAATTCATCGGAAAATCTTAGGGATAATCTGGGGATCATTGGGGATGATTTGAAACCTTGGGTTTTGGAAAGAAAATGATTTCATTGATCAATGGGAGATCTTCAGGATCCAATTGATGGAGGTACGTTGGTACCATATTGTTGGCCATATTTTCTGGGGATATTCTCTTACATAAGGTAGGTACCTCCAATTTAGGATCCAGAAATTCCCATTTCATTGAGTTGCTTCAAGGGAACATTCACAGCATTGTCTTTGCTGCACATACATAGCTCCAATCCTCTTGGCTATAGAACCACTGAATTTGTGATAGTACAAGAGCACCATGGTCTATTATTCACATGTTCAACCCAATGGTTCTATATTGGATATTAAGAATATTTAAAATATTAACCATTAGATATGTTCACAAATTAAAGGACCGGATAACCCCACAAGACAACTTCTGCCAATAAGGAAAGACAAAGGAGGTGGTGGAGGACCGAGAAGTAAAACAAAGTTGTGTGTGACAAAGTTGTATGTGAAAGATGGTGTGTGACAAAGACAGATGGCGTGTGTGACAAAGATGTGTGTGACAAAGCTGTGTGTGACAGATGGTGTGTCAAAGATGGTGGGTGACAAAGTTGTGTGCGAAAGATGGTGTGTGGCAAAGTGGTGTGTGAAAGATGGTGTGGCGGAAGATGGTGTGCGACAAAGTTCTGTGTGAAAGATGGTGTGGTGAAAGATGGTGTGCGACAAAGTTCTGTGTGAAAGATGGTGTGGTGAAAGATGGTGTGTGACAAAGTGGTGTGTGAAGGATGGTGTGTGACAAAGTGGTGTGGGACACAATTGGTGTGTGAAAGATGGTGTGTGACAAAGTGGTGTGAAAGATGGTGTGTCAAGGATGGTGTGTGAAAGATGGCGTGTGACAAAGTGGTGTGTGAAAGATAGTGTGTGACAAAGTGATGTCTGAAAGATAGTGTGTGACAAAGTGGTGTGTGAAAGATGGTGTGTGAAAGATGGTGTGTGTGTGTGTGACAAAGATGGTGTGTGAAAGAGGGTGTGTCAAAGATGGTGTGCGACAAAGCCGTATGTGAAAGATGGTAGGTGACAAAGTTGTGTGTGAAAGATGGTGTGACAAAGATTGTGGGTGACAATGTGGTGCCGCGGCGTCACCGGCGACCAACGGCGATCAAGCGCGCCAAGCAGTGCCATAAGTGCCACGCCTGCCATGCAAAACGAAGGTGGATGTCTCCTTGTGCCACGCCTGCCACGCAAAACGAAGGTGGATGTCACCAAGTGCCACGCCTGTCACGCAAAGTGCCGCGGCGTCACCGGCGACCAACGGCGACCAAGCGCGCCACACAGTGCCGTAAGTGCCACGCCTGCCACGCAAAACGAAGGTGGATGTGAGATTGTGCCACGCCTGCCACGTGAAACGAAGGTGGATGTCACCAAGTGCCACGCCTGCCACGCAAAGTGCCGCGGCGTCACCGGCGACCAACGGCGACCAAGCGCGCCACACAGTGCCATAAGTGCCCTGCCTGCCACGCAAAACAAAGGTGGATGTGAGATTGTGCCAAGTTGTGTGTGAAAGATGGTATGTGACAAAGATGGTATGTGACAGATGGTGTGTGTGAAAGATGGTGTGTGAAAGATGGTGTGTGAAAGATGGTGTGTGCAAGATGGTTGTTGACAGATGGTGTGTGACAAAGTTGTGTGTGACAGGCGGGAGGAGGAGGAGGAGGAGGAGGAGGCGGAGGCGGAGGAGGCTCGGGATACAGAATCAAAAACAAGAACCCCACACAAAGTTGTGGGGAACAAACTAGGTTAGTATATCACTAAGCTAAAACAAACCCCCATGCACCAACAACAAGATTAACACACACATCACGTGTCATCGACGGGCTATTCCTAGTGCTTCTCAATTCCGGTATCGTTTTTCCGGGGCATGACCTTTCTCCGAGGTACGCCCAAAGCTCTTTATTTCACCCAATAAAGCAACCACTCATACATGTATCACGTATATATATATAATAGATATATCTATCTGTATATTAATTATAATCTATAGTATCTATAGCTATATTGACATATGAATACTCTATAATACTGGATCTATAATAACTGATATACAGTATCTATATATCTAACAATAGTTTAATATGTATATCCATAGTATACCACTGATAACCACAGTAGTTTACAGTATATATTAACCACCAGCTTTTCCTGCTCTTCCGCCTCGAAAGACACCAGCTTCTTGGCGTCCTGGGCGGGAGAATTTCTGTCCTGGCCAGAACTTAGAACGTGTAATGATGATCATTTGAGGTTTAATGTAATCTTAGTTGGCATTAGTAGTGATTAATCTTAATCATTGATGATGATTGATATTAGTAGATTATTGATGATTATTGATGATTATTGATGATTATTGATAATTATTGATACTAGTAGTGATACATGCACCTGGCAACGGAAAACCATCCCATGGAGTTCGATGTTGTGTTTTTTTCCCGCGGAAAAACCTTCATTTGCTCCGGGGATTTTCCAGCACGCCACGTTTAATTATCATATGGTAACTGTGATAGTTGAGATTAATGACAAAGTGGATAACTGAGATTCATGATTATCTTGATACCTTTGATCGATTTTTTGTCAGTAATGACATTTGTTTGTATTGATACACGTGCTATGTGTTGTAGTTATATATAGACAAGAATTCTTGAATGTTGGGACTGCCCATATCTCTATCAACTTGCGCAGCTCACTTTTCAGTGGCAGTATTCTGTAGAACATGTAGAAATAAAGGATCCGGGTGGGCATGAAACTCTTGGTGCATCTATACATTATATATATGGACGCACATTCAGATTTTGGTTGAACCGCTGCCAACTGTGTGTGACTTCCAGTTCCAACCCACTTAGCAATGAAAGGACCCTATTAAAGCCACCAGTCCTCAGTTGCTGGTGACGGCTCGACTGTCAGTCGTCAAGGCTTGACGCATGAAGTATAAATGCACATCATGTGTGCCTCTTGTTATAAGCCCAATCACAAACTCATTAAGTTTACCCAAACATGTCTGGTATAGATCATCCCCAGGTAGGGGTCAATGGTCTTGGATTACCACACTGCATCTACACATGATGCACCAACACGACACCAGGCCCGGCTAGGCCCGGTTAGGCACGGATAGGCCCCCCGACATCGACAACTAATCGGCCATACTCCTGAGGGATCGCGGACAGCGACAAACATAGTTTATTACCATGGATCACTGATATATATATATATTTATTTATATTATATTATATATATAGTATATATATATATATTACTATCTATATATACTATATATTATATATATATTATATTATACATATTATATTAAATATATAATATAGATATTAAAAATATATATATATTATATTTATTATATATATATATATTATATTATATATATTATATATATTATATATATTATATACATTATATTAAATATATTATATATATGTATAATATATAATATATATAATATATATATATAATGATATATATATAAATAATATAATATATATATATATATATTATATTATACATATAATATATAATATATATTATATATAATATATATATATACATTATATATTATATTATATATATATTATGACTGATATTCACTGGTCGGCGGTTGTGCTTGATTCATCTTGATTCCTCAATTTCAATATCGCCCATGACCCTCATCCTTGCAGGTAGTGGCGGTGTGATTCCCAAACCAGGGAACCTTTTTTCGGTATACAGTACCCACAAACATTGTGCCATCTCCTTTTGCCTATGATCATGAATTTCTATCCGAATCCCCTGTGCAAATCCCCAACAATCATCGCCCCTCCAAGCCTAGTTGAGTATGACCCCCAAAAATGGTGCACATGGAGACCCGAAGTCATGTTCCAACCCAAAGTGTGCCTGTTGGAGGTAAGTGCATAGAACCTGCGGGTTCACCAGCAATGCTCTGGATTCGTAAAGGGTGCCTAACCCATTCCAGTTCCAGCTCATGGAAAAGTTTCGATGACTTTCAAGAGGTCAGGTATTTGGGGTTGATGTCAGTGTACAATGGACCCCTTCAATCACCTTGGAACCATTCATGTCACGGGCCAACAGCACACAGCAGCACAGCATAGCAAAGCAGCACTATGCAGCACTTCCGGCGTGTCACCAAGCGTTTCAAGCGGCCTTGAAGATCTGTTCCTCCTCCTTATTCACATCTTGCCCCTGTAAGGCCTCAGCGACAGTAGGATGAAGTCAGATGGGTTGTTCGGGATGATCCCAGAACGACTATGGATGGCAGCTGTACGGATAACATTAATTTTGAGATTTATGATGGCATACTTTTGATATTGGATAATTTATATATGTTTATATTGATTTATGGCATCTTTGTATTGGCACTTCACTAAATTGCTAGCGACTTCACTCAAATCTGTCATAAATTTGTTCTGCGATAGTTACAGCAATCCAATTCCCATTCTTCCAGTGAGGTCGCAAGGTGTCGTCAAATGCTGCACATATCTCCACGGGTGACTCTTGGAAACCCCGAAACCAGCAGCAAACCAGGCACATGGCTTCGCATCCGTGCAGATAATCTGGAAAATGTTTCACCCACCAGTCATGGCCCTTATCAATTTTTGAGTGAGATTATAACTCCGATAAACCAGTTATATGATCATTATCGTCCTTATCCTTATCACATATACAACAGTTGACTATAACTCATCATCACACATATATATAATATATATATATATTTATATTATATAATTGATATATAGCCGCAGGCCCGAATCTTTCCAGCAGTGCGGCCGAGTCAGCAGATCTTCGGGTGATTGTTTTCCACCGCTATGGATGATCTTTGACGATCTACACTTTTGGCCGCTCCTCAACCTTTGAGGGCGCCTGCGCCGGGTCTTCATCATGATTGCCAATGTCGCCAGTGAGCTGGTAACTGGAAAAAAAATTGTGCGGGCGGGGCAACGTTGTCCTCAATAGTGATTGTCAAAACGAGTTCAAGTCGAGATGGCGCTGGGCAGAACATCATCGTGACAATTCTTGGCAACGGACACAGAGGCCGTTGAGCAATCAAGCAGGACCTTGCGGATTCAGCACATTGATACCTTTCGTGTCTTGCAGACGAGTCTCTTGAGGAATTTGTGGCTCCTGGCAACGCAGTTGTCGGAACGGAAGTGTGTGAGGCTCGGCCAAGATTCTTGCTGCTCACGTGGAGCAAATGGCTTTCATACGGCTCAGATGCTTGTGGACTGGACCCTTGATCTTGGTTCCCTCAGGTCTTGATATCATCCACACAACCCGGTCAACCTTGACTGTGCTGGTGCAGTACCTCTGTTCACATGTAATGTGGTCCAGCCCTTGGTTGTTGGAATGTTGCTGAGCCAACTTGAATAATGGCGATTTGGACAGTTGCTGCCTTTCAGTGCTTGGTGCACGCAAAGTTGTTCTAGGATTTGTCTGAAGCCGCTTGCATGGACACAGCTCGATTGAAATTCCCCACGTATGGCTTGAGCCATGGGGCACACTGAGTGTTGGTGTGCTTTTCCCATTTTGTTGTGATTCTATTGGTCACCTGCTGGCACCTGTCTAGCAGCATATTTGTACCTCTTTGATTTTCAAGCGGCTTTCTGAGCAACCGACTCAAGCTGCTTCTACTCACACCGTTAATGTTTGCCAACAGCTTGTGGCATAAACATGGAAGGTAGCTGAAGGCAAACTCTTTCAGCTGCCCTTGGTATGTATATTAAGCAAGTTGTTTCAGCGCTGGCCCTGACGGCATGACCACCTTGTGCTGCGCCGCACTGCTCACGCCGTGCGGGCACCACGTAGAAGTCGTCCGATATATGTATATATATATATACAATTGATATATAATAGTAATAGTTGTTGTTTTCATCACCTTCAGTAACTGTTGAGGCCTAGAACTGTCACCGCTTGGACCCCTGAGGTCTTCGGCTGTGACCATGTTGGGGCTTCGAGTCAACTCGATCGCCGTGAAGGCAACCTGTCTCGTAGGCTCCATCCACAGACTGCACCGTGAGTAAAAAACGTGTTTCCAAATTGCGTGCATCGTGGTGCAAATTCGGTATCTCCAAATTCATCAAATTCCATATGTTCGATATAAGTTCAATATAATGTTCAATATAATGATCAATAGAACCATTTCATGTGTCCGGCTTCTGCAGTGAGCCCATCAGCCAGCCCATCACAAACCCCTTGGCCGAACTCGTGAATTTCAGTGGAAGATTTAGCTGCTAAGATACCCTCAAAATTCCCCTTCAAATAAACCTATAGATAGAACACACACACACACTTTATATATGATATATGTATGTGTATATATATACACATATTAGTGGGAATATTGTTTTACATGGGCGTGGCTGAAACTAGGATAATTATATATCCAACGCTTCACAATTGGTTTTCCAATAGAACAGTATGATGCATGATTCCATGATTCGTATATTTCATTCCTTCATGCAATACAACGCGCTTACATCGCATACACTCCCAGCTTACCAAACCAATCGGCGGGTAACTCCTACAGCCAATCGCACCCACCAAACCGAGCCATCGGGACCGAATCAGCGACCATGTCATTCACCGGTGAAGAATCCCAAGTGATCGACAGGATCTGCTGGGGGATTTTCCAGCAAGACACGTGGGGAATTACTGGAAGGGTCATCGTCAACAATCGGAATGAATTTGTGATGAATGAATATGCATAAATACATAAATATTATATATATATACTATAGGGGAATTACCATGAACATACATCTTCAGGGTATACTAATGAACATTCATCATCTTTACTGTGATGGCCCCTTCTGCTAAGATTGAAGGTCGAAGGTCGAGCATGTTTAGCTGGGTGATCGATCCTACAAAGGTGGGTTGTCCACTGCCATCTTTGATTGCCAAAGGGTGCATTTTTTCCCACATGTTTATTGTGCATTGGTAATACCAGCCCTTCGTGCTACCAAAATTCCCAATGGTTTGGCGCGTTATCACTCAGAGTTGTCATTGGCTTGCTCTAAGCGAAAATAAATTGACCATGTAGTACTACTCTTGAACCTGATAACCCTGCTGCACAGAAAGGTAGAGCTGGGTAGCCTCCCTCAGTAGGCGTGCCATGAAATCCTAAGACAGAGCAGCAGTGGTGAGGAAATGTGAAGGATAGGACTCCAGAAAGCTCCGTTCTGCCGAGATCCTTCAAGCAATGTCCGCTTAAAAAAAACGTGTCAAAAGTACAGTCCACAACACTTTAGCATAATTTTACATACCTTTACAAGTTACGTTTAAGATAAAAATGGGGAGAGGCTTACTTTTGCTTACCATTTTTAGAATGTTTCACGTTGTTTTACATGTCTGTGATGACAATACATGTATATGTAGAAATATATGCACATGATTCAAACAGATCAGCAATCACAGAATCACCAAACCCAGCAGGAATCACACCGGCACAGTCTTCCGTCCCTCGTCCATGGCAAACACCAGAGGCGAAATACGCAGAGTTTCGTGGCGAAATACTTCAGTTCAGATCCGACCATTCCGGTCACGCTCGGAACCTCCCATGTTCACCTTCAATCTCACCAGCATGTTCTGACAGAATGAATACGCGAGGGGTCCTTTTATAGGGGGACCCCAAAACATCTATCTAAGCATTGTATTCAGGTTCAATCAGTTTAAAAACGGAGCCACAACTTAATGTTGCTATATCATGGGATACAACGTGTCCAACAATCAAATTCATCCAACACAACTCATATCAACTTATTCAACTAACTAAGACAAAAATATATACACATATTAGTCCATAGGGAACTTTGGCCAATTCATCTTATCTGAATGTGTGGATTCTCCATGACACCCCCTCCATCTTGGGGTTTGCCCAAACATGGGGACATAGCAACAAACTCTTCTTGGCCGTCATCATGTTCCCCCCTAAAATTGCCATCTATTCGAAGCAATTCTCAACTTTTGACACAACATCCCATGTTCGTTCCTGAAATCAATTTTTGTTGGAGTAACGTACATAGTTTGACTGGTTAAATCCACCAGTATTCACACATACAAATCCGCTGTTTGTTGCTTAAATCCAGTTTTTTTGGGTTGGACCCACCATTTCAAAATATAATCCATTCGTTTAGACATGTTCATTGTTCAAGCCAGCTAAATCCATCATTTTATCCATCATTTTATCCATCATTTTGTCCATGTTTGATTCCATGTGTGTTTCTGAAATTCCATTATTCTAAAAATTCCTTCGTTTCTCCATCTTTGACGGTAAAATGAATCGTGATGTACCATGTTTCATGGTTAAATTCCAGGTGTTCTCCATGTTTTTCCGCCAAAATCCACCAGTCTCTCATATGTTCTCCATTTTTCATGTTAAATCCATCAATTTCGCAGATGTTCCCCATGTTTTCACGCCACATCCACCCATTTTCCGTTGCACCACCCGCTTTCCACCGACTGGTCCGCCTGGTTCTCCAGGGTCACCTCCACCGCCTCGCAGACCTGCAGCGCGGTGCCCTCCACGGAGACCTGGCTCAATCGGAAATACAACGACTACAGCATATATAGCCAGTGAATATCTATGGATAGCTATATGGGAATATATATATATATATATATAGGATTTGTTGAAGTTTTACCCTCTTGGTAAACGAACATAGCCATGGAAAACCACCATTTTGAATAGGTAAATCAACTATAAATGGTATATTTTCCATGGCTATGTTAAATTACCAGAGGGTATACCCAGTGAATATGATAGCTACATAAAGTTATAGCTGCCATAGTTAAAAAAATAAGTTATACCAAGTTCTACCGAAAACAAACACGCCCTGTCTGCCATATCATATACAAGTTATACATAGTTATCTGGTTGGTGGTTTTAACCATCTTGAAAAATATGACTTCGTCAATGGGAAGGATTATCCCATGCATTATGGAAAAAATGTTTGAAACCACCAACCAGGATATATATGACATGCTATAGTACTATGATAATGATATAATGATAATCTATATATATATATATATACAATGTGTATGTGTATATATATATACAGACCATCACTGCTATAATGTATAATACCAGTAGTACCGCACAAGGCGGTGGCGGAAGTTTCAAAAATAGGAAACCTATAGGAGAGGTTGGTTGTTGTGAATCAGGGATGGCAAAGCGAATCCACTGATAGACCGAAAGGTGCTTGAGGTCTCCTCTCTGTCTCTCTCTTTCTCTGACTATCTACCTACCTATCTATCTTCTATGTATCTATCTGTCTATCTAGCTATCTATCTAGCTATCTATCTCTCTCTTTCTCTCTTCCATCTAATTACCTATCTACCTATCTACCTATCTACCTATCTACCTATCTACCTATCTACCTATCTACCTATCTATCTATCTATCTCTCTCTCTCTCTTTCATCTGTCTATCTATCTATCTATCTATCTATCTGTCTATCTGTCTACCTGTCTACCTGTCTATCTGTGGTGCAGTGTCATTCAGTGTATGCAGTGTAGTGTAATGTAGTGTAGTGTAGTGGAGTGTAGTGGAATGTAGTGTAGTGTAGTGCAATGTAGTGTAGTGTAGTGTAATTTCGTGTAGTGGAGTGTAGTGTGTAGTCGTAGTTGTAGTTGTAGTGTAGTGGAGTGTAGTTAGTGTAATGTAGTGTAGTGTAATTTAGTGTAGTGGAGTGTAGTGGAGTGTAGTTGTGTATATAGTTGTAGTTGCAGTGTTGTGGAGCGTAGTGTAGTGTAATGTAGTGTAGTGGAGTGTAGTGTGATTTAATGTAGTGTAGTGTAGTGATGTGTAGTGGAGCGTAGTGTAGTGTAATGTAGCGTAGTGAAATTTAATGTAGTGGAGTGTAGTGGAGTGTAGTCTAGTTGTGTAGTTATAGTTGTAGTGTTGTGGAGTGTAGTGTAGTGAAATCTAGTGTAGTATAGTGGAGTGTGGTGTAATGTAACGTAGTGTAGTGTAGTGAAGCGACTTTCCTATCTATCTATCTCTCTGTCTATCTATCTATCTCTATGTATCTATCTATCTATCCATGTATCAATCTATGTATCTAGCGATGTATCTATCTATCTATCTATCTGTCTGTCTATCGATCTGTCTGTCTTTCTATCTGTCTATCTGTCTAGCCATCTATCTATCTATCTCATCTACCAAGCTGGCCTCTCTCTCTCTCTCTTTCATCTAATTACCTACCTATCTATCTATCTACCTACCTGTCTATCTATCTCTCTCCCTTTCATCTGTCTATCTGTCTAGCTGTCTACCTGTCTATCTGTGTTGCAGTGTCATTCAGTGTAATGTAGTGTAGTGTAGTGTAATTTAGTCTAGTGGAGTGTACTGGAGTGTAATGTAGTGTAAGTGTAGTGTAATGTACTGGCGTGTAGTGTAGTGTAATGTCCTGTAGTGTAGTGTCTTGAGCGCAGCGACATCTGAACCTCCAAAAGTGGTCCGAACCCCTGGTGTTTTTAACATTTTGACTTGGAAATGTGCTTCGCGCCACAACAGCGTGCACTTTTTCAACATCCGAACCTCCAAAAGTGGCGCGAACATGTGGTGTTTTGTACATTTTGACTTCGAAATGTGCTTCGCGCCACAATGGCGTGCACTTTTTCGACATCTCAACTTCCAAAAGTGGTCCGAAGCTGAGGTGTTTTGTACATTTTGACTTGGAAATGTGCTTCGCGCCACAACGGCGTGCACTTTTTTGACATCGCAACTTCCAAAAGTGGTCCGTTTTTAACATTTTGACTTGAAATGTGCTTCGCGCCACAACGGCGTGCACTTTTTCGACATCTCAACTTCCAAAAGTGGTCCGACGCTGGTGTGTTTTTGTACATTTTGACTTGGAAATGTGCTTCGCGCCACAACGGCGTGCACTTTTTCGACATCTCAACTTCCAAAAGTGGTCCGACATGGGTGTTTTGTACATTTTGACTTGGAAATGTGCTTCGCGCCACAACGGCGTGCACTTTTTCGACATCTCAACTTCCAAAAGTGGTCCGACGCTGGTGTGTTTTGTACATTTTGACTTGGAAATGTGCTTCGCGCCACAACGGCGTGCAATTTTTCATCTCTCATCTGGCCAGCTGGCTCCGCACCCGCCGCTTTAGCGAGCCTACTTTTCGACCCTCCGGAGCCACAAATCATTGGAAAAACACAATGTTTCGCGACTTTCCTACCTTTTTGCGCATCTGCATCTTCTTTCTTCTTACTCTTTCTCTTCTACTCTTCTTTCGTCTAATCTTCCTCTTCTCTCTGCCTCTTCCCTGCTCTGCTTTTCATCTGTCCATATTGTCGGAAGTTTGACTTCTAAACTTCCTTCGATTATAGTGATAAAATATAATGATATAATCACTATTATAATATAATACATATAGTGATATAGTCGCTATGATTCGCTATGATAAAATTATAATGATATAGTTAATCTTGATAGTGATAATATAGTTAATTAATAATATAATGATATGATGAAAAACTATAACAATTCAGCGATAATATTGATAATATGATGGTGATAATCATTGTAGTATTTTCATAGTCACTACATACTAATAATTGAATTATATAGTGATCATGATTAGTTGGTAAATTATTGGTTGGATATTCCAAATTACATTATCCGTTTTACACCAATCATGGATGCACCAATATACAATCCCCCAAAAAAAGTTATTGCAGTAACCCCAAAAAGACAGATCAATGATTCAATAATTAGGTAAATAGGTAACCAGGTATCTGATATCTGTAGATTATTTATTTATTTATATATATATATCGTACAAGTCCTAGGACCAGCATAATGGGACATGAAAACGTATATATATATATATACATATTGTTGAATGTATAGGTAACAAAAATTGGAAATTTGGGTTGAAAAATGATTGATTTATATCAATTACAATTAGAATCCGCCAGCATGATCATCGCTCATCATCGAATAATTGTTTAGCTATGTTGTCTGGTTGGTGGTTTTAACCATCTTGAAAAATATGAAAGTCAATGGGAAGCATTACCCCATATACTATGGAAAATAAAAAAAATGTTTGACACCACCAACCAGCTGTTATTGTAATCAACATCCACCAATCACTTAAAACAACAACATATACTTTTGTTTTAAAAAATATAAACCATCGGTTGCTGAATCCTTGGTTAGTATAAAGGTAATATATTGGGGCATTGGTGTTTGAAACTATATAATCATTAGGAATTGGTTTAAACTGATCTACTGGTTTAATTGGTTTTGGGCTTGTAACGAACTAGTTTAAACTGATTTACTGGTTTCAATTAAAAGAATACGGGCTTCAATTGGTCACTAAAAACAAAAAATAATGGATATTGAGCCCTGGTTGAAAAAATGAACTATGATGGATTGTAAAAAAACATGCAATCACTCTATTAAAATATGTATCTGAATTATATGTTACCCAATCAGTAGATTATCGAAGTGGCCCAGTGGCCCAGCAATCCACGAAATCATGATTGGTGGAAATCATGATTGGAGATAAATGGAATAAATTAATATAGATGGGAATCGTTTATTATAGATTCTATAGTAAGGGAATTTTCTACTATCTCTATTATTGGCTCGTTTTATAATTGGGATAGAACCCGCAGAATCCAATTATATCTATTGAATTCTATTGAATACATATCCATAGAGCCAATAGAATGGGATAGACAATAAGAAACAAATGGAAATCATCAAATATCCATCTTGGGTAAATCAATCAATGTTTTTTTAAAAATCAAATGGGTAAGCAACGAGAAACCCGTGGGTAAACGAATGATTGGTCGGGTTGGAATCACGAAGCAACTCGTTGGTCCCATGAATGGATGAATACTTGGTGGAAAAGCGATAGAACCATGTCATGGATATTGGTTGGTGCACCATAATTTATTGGATATCCATGATTATTGGTTGATAATTTGATAGTTATCCATTTTAATGATTTCTAATCCATAATATTCGATAATTATTAGATAGGAACCCCCTACTATATGTACTATCAATACTTGGTAGATTGGTGCACCCCAGACTAGAGATAGAAAAAGTGGACAATCTGGAAACACTTTTCGGCATCTTTTTGGGGAACTTGGGAGGCTCCAGATGGTAGAGTCTTCCATGTTATGCTCCAAAGAACTTCCGATGTTTCGGTCGTGGGGATTAAAAAAAAAACCTTCCTGAAACTTTCAAAACATTTCAAAACAATATGCTACAGTACATGCTTTGTTTACTGGGATTTAAGAAAACACCGTCATTTTTTTACCACTTGGTTCACTGCCGCTACGAACCTTTTCTGGATTCAATGGGTTGGTTTCAATGAACGCCGCACGAGCGTGTTTTTATTTCGGTAATTTTTCCAATGATGGCTAGGTTATCAAAAATCTGCTTGAAGAGTCTTCATCTGAGACTATCTGTCGGACTCAAAACCTTAAACCCCGGAAGTTAGAAACAACATAGCTGGCAAAGGCACATTAACCCAAAAAAAAAGGAACATCACAGGCTTGACCCACATATCTTCACTGGGTCAACACGTTACACCCTTTGAATTCACATCAAATTTGCCGGATTCGAATGGTTTGCCACACACACGGCTCCCAGTAGCATTTCCCTTCCTAGGCTTGCTGCCTCTCCACACCCGTTCTGTCAGAGCCAATTCCAAATCGGCGCATGCGTGACGCCGGAGCGCCAACACTTGGTAAGTTCGGGTCCCACCCCGCATCACACTGCTGGGGATGAACTCTTCAGAAGTTGACTGCGCAGGAATTGTTGCAGCTATCAATGTGATCATCACGGGGACGTACCTGGATCCCTGAAACATTCGCACATGGCAAGTGGGAGGATCTTTTCGAGACCCCCATCTACGAAGCACTTCGCATTTCAGTTGGAGGAGCCCATGGAAAAACCTGACGTAGGGCATTTTTTATCAATCCAAGGCATTTGTGGGAAATCCTAACCTCATTGCAACTTCGCATTTTTAAAAACCGACATTTCATGCCTTTATAGTCCCTCAAGTGCTACTTTTTTCAAGAATTGGATTCCCAGTCTCGGCCGTATAATTTGATATGATCACTGATTAACATCCAAAAACATCCACAAAGATCGATAAACATCAATAAACCAACTAGTATAAGCCCAAAGACACACCAACCGAACCAACCAGTTTGGTCACCGCGCAAATGATCAACTGCCATGTCACCGCCGACGAACGCACCGACATAACCCCAGCCTCATCGTAGATTTCCAACAGAGCTCGGCCTACGGCAGGTCAGGCGATGGAGAAGATAGAGGTCATGGACTTTGATGGCATCTATGATTTTTATCATTCAAACTATTAGCATTCATTCATAGATATGGTATCTATTATGATATCTAGATATGATTTTTTATCATTCATAGAATCTCTCATATCACCTGATAATTGCTAATAGTTTGGAATGATAGTTTGGGATAATATCTTATGGTACTGTGGATGGTTGCGAAATCCTGCATCACCAAAAGGATGGTTGAAACATCTTGAAAGCCTATAAATAATGGGAAAAGCTACCGTTTTCAACTGGTGCAGGATTTCTTCCATCCACAGTATCACCTGATAATTGCTAAGTGTAATGCTTAGAATGATCTTGGGATAATAATAGTTCTCTATACTATCGATATAAAATTAGCTGATAACTATCCATTAACATCAGAATGCTTAGAACCATCTTGGGATAGATAGATAAAACAACCGATGGTTATAGTATAAATTTCCAAGTTATCTGTTGATAGCTAGATCATGGGAATTCGCTACCGTAATACAACAATTAAAGTTATCTATGATAGGCAGATAATTATAGTATCATGTTAGGTATGTAATGATCATCTGTAACTTGAAAGCTGATAGTTATTTGAGAATGTTGATTAGAATATAACATGATATTAGAAAATTAAAACCATATTTGAAACAAACAATAATGCACTATGAGATAAACAATTTTCACAGTCTCCTGTAATATTCTGATACCTGCGTATGTATAGCTATAATAGATCTATCTAACTGAATATATCTATAGATACAATGGTGGTTATCACGATGGTATCTCGAAATCATAGTCATCGAAGCATGATTATCTACTAATCATTGCGAATGGTGTATACAATGAATTATCTGTTTACAATCATGTTTGAAAATAGATACTATATAATCGTGTTTATCGAATAATATATTTTTATGTATACTGGATATACAACTACATAAGGATCAGGATCTATTGCAGTATATCTGATCACTATTCGATAAATCATGATCATAATCATTCACAATCTCTTGTAAATTTGCTGTGCGCATCACAAATTGGCAATCGTCTCTGCCGGCTCTGCCACCCACATGACGACCCGCACGGCGAGTTGCTCACCGGCAACCCCACTTCCATCGTTTGGGTCCCTTGGCTGTTCACCGGATACCCTTGCATCAAGGTCTGGGTTTCTTGGCTTGTCAGGGCATCAGCAGCATTGCCGTGGGAATTCCAACCACTTTGACATCCTGCCGTGGAAGACGCTGCGTGAGTTGCTTTCTCGGGCAACCTGTGAGTCTCTCGGGCATTTCTGGCTGAAAAATGCCCTCTCTCATGATCTGCTGGTAAGCCTTCTCATCATGGCAATCTCTGGTTGGTGGTTTTAACCATCTTGAAAAATATTAGTCAATGGGAAAGATTATCCCATATATTATGGAAAATAAAAAATGTTCCAAACCACCAACCAGATCTACTACAGACAAAAGGTCTGATTCCAGCAGGCTGAGCTTGCCTGGTCTCCTCTGTGGAAGGTAAGCTATATTAGGCAGGCACCCAAAAGTGGCAGGCACGCAGGCAATGTGAGTTCGTGGGGCATTGGTTTTTATTGAAAAACTGAGGTGCAAAGACAAACTGAATTTCCAACTCTGGCAACACATAATGATTTTCCACAGCCACGTTAGAACATCACAGGATAAACAACCAAATCTAACCACAAATGGCTTGGTCTGGAATTGGTGTATACCTCTAACATGGCCATTTAGCAGTAATGATGAACCCTGGCTGTTTGGGGGTGTACCTCTTTTCGCCCACACGGAGACATAGCGTTGTCCGCAGGCGCGGGCCAAATCAGGAGAAAGGCCCGTGAAACATTCCCTGGAGCATCCCGTTCAGCAGCCAGGAGTGTATTGATCAGTCGTTGAATTCACTAACAACACTTGTTTTCCAATTGTTTTCCAACAAGTAGTGGCAACCAAGTCGTCCACTTTCGGAGATTATTTGATTTATTTGTCAATCAATTGATTGAAGCCAGGACCCATGAAATTGCCGGAGTATGACCGCTAAGCACGACTTGCAGAATAAAGGTCTATATGCGTTTATTCCATGAAGGGCAAACAACATCATACAACTAGTCTTGGGTAAGTCTATATTTCATATCATTGCAAACATGGGTTGAAAATACTATGGGTTTCTCAAATGAGGGACCCCAGATTTTTTCCCGAATGCGTAGCAAGGGTTCCTGTTTCACTCTGGGGGTCTGGGGGTTGAGGGTGTGTTCGCTCGACGTTGCGTTTGTGGTCGCAACCGTCCGCAACCGTCCGCAACCGTTCGTGTGAGGACCGTATGGCCGTGCCTCTGGGAAGTTCTGCAGGAGGGATCATTTTTGGAGTCTGGTTGCTTCGTTTCGCGTGGCAGGCGTGGCACTTCGTGACATTCAGACGTGTTTTGCAACGTGTCGAAAGTCGTTTTGTGTGGCAGGCGCAATACTTTTGCGACGTTTTCAGAAGATGTGTTACATTTTTCCTGGCAGGCGCAGCACTTTGGACGTGTCCATCGTGATTTTTCGTGGCAGGCGCAGCACTTTAGACGTGTCGTGTTGCGTGTTTTTTGTAAATCGCATTGGCAGGGCTGCGTCAAGTGGCGACACGGTGCAAATTCCGTGGCAGGCGTGGCATTTTGTGCGATGTGCTGAAAATTGACGGAAGCCTCGCACGAAACATAGATTTTGAGGTAGCAAATTTTCCGGTTCTAAGGAAAACTCGTAGGAAAACGTCGATTCTGAGGTTGCAAAGTGTCAAAATTGGAGGATGTCTCGCACGAAATGCTCGTTTTGGCGTCTCGAGTCTCTGGTTTTCTTGTGGCTTCGCCGTGTCTATGGGGGAAGCCGCAAAACCTCTCCTTTTCGAAGGTTTCCAAGCAGGTTGTCATGTCGTTTTGCGTGGCAGGCGTGGCACTTTGTAACATTCCAACCCGTTTGATAACGTGTCGAAATTGTCAAAATTGGAGGATGTCTCGCACGAAATGCTCGTTTTTCTGCATCCACCTGTCTCGTCTCGAGTCGCTGGTTTTCCTGTGTCTATGGGGGAAGCTGCAAAACCTCTCTTTTTCGAAGGTTTCCAAGCAGGTTATCATGTCGTTTTGCGTGGCAGGCGTGACACTTTGTGACATTCCAACCTGTTTGGTAACGTGTCGAAAATGTCAAAATTGGAGGATGTCTCGCACGAAATGCTCGTGTTTCTGCACACACGTGTCTCGTCTCGAGTCGCTGGTTTTCCTGTGGCGTCGCCGTGTCTATAGGGGAAGCTCCGCACTCCACAATTTACACTTTACACTCCGCACTCCACAATTTACACTTTAGACTCCACACTCCACACTCTACACTTTACACTCCACACTTTACACTTTGCACTTTACACTCCTCACTCCTCACTCGAGACTTTACACTCCACACTCCACACTTTACACTCCACACTCCTCACTCTACACTTTACACTCCACACTTTACACTCTACACTCTACACTTGACATTTTACACTCCAGACTTTACACTTTACACTCCACACTCCTCACTTTACACTCCACACTCCTCACTTTACACTCCACACTCCACACTTCTCACTTTACACTCCGCACTCCACACTCTACACTTTCCACTCCACACTCCACACTCCACACTTTACACTCCACATTCCACACTCAACAATTTACACTTTAGACTCCTGACTCGACACTCCACACTCCACACTCTACACTTTCCACACTTTACACTCCACACTCCACACTTTACACTCCTCACTCCACACTTTACACTCCGCACTCCTCACTTTACACTCTACACTCCACACTCTACACTTTACACTCTACACTTTACACTCTACACTCCACACTCCACAATCTACACTTTACACACTCCACACTCCTTACTCCGCACTTTACACTCCACACTCTACACTCCACACTCTACACTTTCCACTCCACACTCCATCCTCTACACTTTACACTCTGCACTCCACACTTTACACTTTACACTCCTCACTCCACACTGGACACTCTACACTTTACACTCCACACTCTACACTTTACATTCTAAACTTTACACTCTACACTCGGCACCCCACACTCTACAATTTACAAACTCCACACTCCTCACTCCACACTTTACACTCCACACTCCACACTTTACACTTTACACTCCTCACTCCACACTCCACACTTTACACTCCGCACTCCTTACTTTACACTCCACACTGCACACTCCACACTCTACACTTTCCACCCCACACTCCACACTCTACACGTTACACTCCACACTCCACACTCTACACTTTACACTCCACACGCTACACTCCACACTGCAGACTGGTAACAGGGGAAATATGTACAAGACTGTTCAAATAAACTATTGCAGAAAAGTGTTCGGCGTGATTGCATATCCATGTGTTTTGACATCTGTTATACGTGTGAGCATTCGGGTTCGTGGGCTGCATCTTGTTTCATAAATTTGTTGCGTTCCATGGGGAAAACAATGGTTTGAGGCTACCTCAAGTTTCACAAAACACCCTAAACTGCGGGCCCCACATGTAATAGGTTAGTTTATCAACCAAGCAAAGTGGTGAAATCAGAAGTTTCCTCCATCGTTAGCATAGGATCCCTAGTAGAAAGTTGCTGATGTTTGTTAATCAGTTCAGTGCCCATAGCATCTGGTAAACTCTCACTTTGCGGCATAGAAAATGGCATAAATGGCCATAGTTAAATAGTTAAATAGTTGATTTACATCGGGGTTGCCATTACCCAGTACACAGCAAGGTATTTCCTACAGAATAGAGCCTTATAAAACATTTTGTGGTCACATGTTCTTAGCTTTTGTAGGGGAAATGGATGGAAATGGTATCCCCGATTGATTTACCCATTCAAAATGGTGGATCTTTCCGTTATGTCAACGTTTAGCAAAGGCTAAATCACGACCTCCATCCCACCGCCTAGCGCCGCCAAGCTGTGAGGAAAGACGAACCGTTGGCATTGCTCCACCTGAGACGGCCCGCCACGGTTTCGCGGGGATCGACTGGATGTTTCTTGGGCGTATCAATGTGGCGCACCAAAAAACGGTAAAACAAAGGTGGTTTGAATGGAGATTTCATGAGGATATGGGTATAACATATGAAAACATATGAAATAGATCACCAAGTTGATACGATATTTGGGCTTGTTTGGAAATAAGGTACCCTGAGAAATTGAGATCATGATTATTTTCCTCAAAACATAATTTCCTGATTTTCACACGCACACACACCCATATAATGTGATAAACCCAATATGGTGGCGATGCATTTAGAAAATTATTGGCTTTTAGTTATTGTGTTTACAAACATGGCGTAAGCCATTGTCGACCTTGGTCGAACACAAGCCTATGGGATTATGCAAAATGGATTTTTCTGGTGCTTTGAAAACTGTTGAAACCATGAAACATTGCACAGGGAAAACACGAACATGTCCAACCAAGCCTCAGCCTTATCTCCTAGCATTGAAAGCTAAGAAGAGAAGGACTCTGCAGAATTCCCATCAACATGGCAGATACTGAAATGTTAAACTTTTAAACAATAGCAAGCCACCCTTCAAGGTTTACCCCTGCATGTCATGTGAAACCTTCCGGTCATCGGACCGCGGACCAGCGGGCTTGGTTCCAACCTTGCAGGCTTTCAGAGCAGTGAAGGTACCCAGTTCCTGCGGCTCGGGAGATAACCCCATTTTTTATGGTTTATATACCCATAAAAATGGTGATTTCGGGGATGGCTTATTGTCTGGCTGGTGGCATACCATGGTATACCTAGACCCCTCTGAAAAATGATGGAGTGAAAGTCAGTTGGGATGATGACATTCCCAAGATGATGGGAAAGTCATAAAATTATTAAAATTCATGTTTTAAAGCACCAATCAGTTGTGGTTTTAACCGTTTAACCAAATCGATTTTGTATCCACGACTAGAACTGCAGCCAGTAGCTACACAACATCGTCCTCCTGGCAGCGACCTCGGAGACAGCAATCCAACGGGGGAGTGCCGCCAGGAACTTGGACGCTTCAATCCCAAGAAAACCACAAGAAGTTCTGCGAGCAGCGATTCCCTCCACAAAGTGCCAGGAGTGACAGCGCATGACAGCGCATGACAGCGCATGACAGCGCAAATGCTGACTTGGGGACGACTGGGTCCCCAAAATTATCAACATTCAGGGGGTACTTTATATTAATATAGGGAGATGTGATCAATAGATCCCGACAATGGCCCCACTGATGTCAACACAGGATTCATAGACCCTTTTTGGCTGACTAGGCTGGCTTCCAAAATAGTGATCATTGGCTCCTAAAATGGTCCTTCCCCCGGCCAATTATATAGCCCAGTGGTTTATTAATTCAGGAATTCTTACGATTTGGGTGTTGCTGCAAACCAGAAATTTCGGATTGTCATTGGGCCAAATTTCTTGGATCCTTTGAGTTAACCAACACCAGCCCCTTGCGGTTTTCGAATTGTTTCCTTGCCAGAGCTGTTTATTTGAACTGTACCCTCTGGTTATGTCAAAATAGCTATTGAAAATGGCCCATTTATAGTTGATTTACCTATTAGGTAAACGTTTACAAAAAACGAACTGGAAAGATCCACCAAATTTTCAATGGGAAAATCCACTATTTCGACTGGGCCATTTTCCAGTTAGCAAACTGTATTTATAGTTGATTTACCTATTAAAGATGGTGATTTTCCATAGCTATGTTAGTTTACCAGGCCGGGTGAAGGCTCGTGACAGGTCCATCTTTGACCTCAAATCTCCACAGAGCGACTGCGAAAAACCACCAGCAAGCGGCTTGAGCAGCGAATGGGAACCAATCTGTTGGGGGGTGGAAACAAAACAAATGCCTGTAGAAAACATCGAAAACACATACTACTATTACGTACTATTCCTGCTAAATGCATATATTCATTTGGATTGCATAACTAAGAAATTTCGAGTTCGAAGGGTTTTATCCACCTTTTGATTTGCTAAATCAAGTTCTTTGGCGTTAAATCAAGCCACCATTCGATTAGCCAATTCTCGTTGTCGGTCGATCCCAGCTCCCATGTTCATCGGACACATGCTCAGCATACCACCATTTCAAATTTTATCATTTGGGTGTTTCCTAAAATGTGAAATCCCAAAACCATGGGTTTCAATGCAAACATGGTCTAATTCAGCATGATTTGGGGGTGCACCCATTTTAGGAAACCTCAATGTTGGTGCGTATTTCAAACCGTAGCCGATGATCATGAACCGTTGCGGTGTACCATTCCCGGATGTGAAATGTGTCGTTTCCGAATAATTCAGGATTCTTAAGCTAACACCCCTAGACTCACCCATCCAGTGTTTTGAACTGATGATTTAGGATTCATAAATTAATCATTGGTCCGTGTTTTTAAGCATGTTTCATGTTTCTTAACCATGTTTACCAAAATTTTACCCAAGAACTGATTAAGAAACCAATGACAACTGATTAATTTTACCATCATGTTGCCATAGTTTTAACTGATTAAGGTTCATGTTTCATAATTTCCAATCAGAACGGACCCCTGTTGTCGTCCTCTGGCTTCATCAACGCCCGAACACCTCGCGGCGTTCGCAGGGTCGAGGCGCGAAACGATGTGTTGGACCGTTGGGGCAGAGTGCAAAGCTGGGAATTAACAGGGGAAAAACATATTACCCTCTGGTAATTAAAAATAGCTATGGAAAATGACCCATAGAAATAGATGGTTTACCGAACTTAAAAATGGTGATTTTCCATAGCTATGTTAGTTTACCAGAGGGTAATAAACTCAGTAGCCCCCAAATGCCAAAGAGTTTCAGAAGAAGTTCAATTGATCAATTTACCCATGCTACCTTTTGGTCGGCTTTTACCAAATTCCATGTCAACTTGGGCTTTTCGATGTCCCTAACCGTATGGCGACCTTTGAATATGACGGATGGAGATGACATGCACATTGCTGGCAGATCTGGCCCTGGCAGGGTGTTTTTGGTGGAACATATCTCTCCTGGACTAAGAGAGGTCGAGAAAAGTGGGGTGTTTTGCACATCGTCCTGGCAGAAAGCATATTGGATTATATAAGAATCAACATAAATGGGGCATGTGCATCATGCAAACACATGGAAAAAAAACAACGCACATATTCCCTTACTGCCACCCATCTCCCCCAACAAAACCAGCTGGGATCATCATCCGAAGAGATCTTTTCGGCAAGATGAAGAACCAACGCCGATTGAAAGCTCCTCAGTTGTAATGGTCATCTGCGCCAATCTACTCATATTTCAATATACCATCTGGTTATTTGTTAAACATAGCCATGGAAAGATCCAACCATTTTTAAGTTCGGTAAACCATCTATTTCGATTGGGGCCATCTATACCATGGCTATGTTAGTCATAACCAGATGGTATTTCATATGTTGCAATTTCCCCCCAAAAAAATGTTCCATCATGACTACCAGTCCAGTGGCCTGTGGAATCTTCCACCAAAAGGCCTGAAACCTGCGCAGGTCACCCTCCAGGAATGGGTTGGATGAACCTCCCAGTGGGATGCCAAACCATATTGGAACTGCAGTTGTACCATGGTTTTCGTTGAAAAAAATTAGGGAAAACTTGCCATCCAACCGGGTTCATCACACGTAAAAAAAAAGAGAACCACCAGGGGGACATGGTCATCCCTGGTCATGAAACAACAATAAGCAGGGGACTATTGTCAATCATCAATAATCTTCAGTAACCATGAATCGTCAATAATCATGATGTAACAATATATTTTTGTAAATTGGTCAATCATCATCAATATCTGGTTTTCAATCAATAATCATCAATAATCATCAATAATCACCAATAATCATCAATAATCATCAATAATCATCAATAAGCATCAATAATCATCAATAATCATCAATCATCTAACCAGTAACCAATAAACATGGTTTCGAACCAACAATAATCATCGATGACCTGGTCATATATTGCAACTGGCCAGCAAGAATAGAACATGGAAAGAATTCAGCAATCAGAATCATGGACTGGCACATCAAAACGCGGGATAACAACGCAAACTACTTGCAGGTATGCAGGAACCTCTAACTCCATTGCAAAGCCCTTGTTCATTGGGACCATGATCAGAGTAAGATGAGTAAGACTTTAGTGTGTCTTACATAGCAAATCCGCTGTGACAAATGGGGTGATTTGGCCACGGGCCATAGGTACACAAAGAAGAATCAACAGAAAACCTTGACGCGCAACATAGTCTAAAAATATGCCCCAAAATCTCGGCACTCAATCCTTATTTTACCCAATTCCTGATGGTTCGCTCCCCCTGGGTGGGTTAAATCCCATTGAAACCCACAAGAGCCAGAACCTCTGTGCGTCCCTTCTTCACGGATTGCAGCTCCTGCCGTGGAGTTGCTTCCGAGGCCAAAGCGGACCAAAACACCTAAGAGAAACACCGATAGAAACAATGGGTGGATTTCCCACTGGGAAACTATCAATTTAAGCAAACCCCTGTGGGGCCCCCCAGTTATAAGTTGGTATATAATCCCCATTAACTAATATAGTTATAGTTATATCTACCCATAAACCATTGTTAAGCCACTTATAAACCAACTTAGCTATCTTGGGGGCCCCATCCTGCAGGGAAACTGTTTTTTTTGCAAAAACATCCTTGTTTTTTTGGCTCAGCCGAGAACCCAAGTTATGGCAAAAAACACACGTAAGCTGATGTGACGACTACAAATGGGAGGTATCTTCAAGTGCCCTGTGCAAATATAATCGTCCTGAGTTTTTCTTCCAGGGTATGGCAGCCCCAATACAGACAGAACAGTTGGAAACCTGTATGATCGACGATAGCCTCGTGTAAAGGAATCTTTCAGCCGATGTATTCCTGCGTTTCATCTCGCCATTCAGCCATAGACCGCGCAAAGCTGGTCAGCTCACCAACTTATGTTGCATATTCTGCCATGCCCAATATCTGCGATCCTGGACGGACGAACAAATCAATGACTGCTCGATACCCAACTGCTCCCGAGTTGTTAAACATGCCAAGCACGTATTCGTACAGTGTCTTCATTCGACTGTTCTGCGCTGATTGATGGGCGAGCCTGACTGCATTTATCATCGCTGCTCCATGGATGTCTTGCAAGGCTGTGAAAGCACTGTTCACCATTCCAAGTGATCCTCCATCGATTGCAGGATATTATTTGGTAAATGGTACATATCATCTGTATCACACTGGAAGCACTTTCTATCTCGTTGGGGAACCCTTTGGTATATAACGTATAAATACAAGAATAGACCACCCCCAATTTCACCAGAAAGGGACAGTATAAAGTCTCCAAGATTGGAGGTTTACATTGGGTGTACCACAATAATTTATATGCTATGGTATTTTTTTTACAAGTTGGCCGACACAGCTACAAGTTTGTCTACTGATTAACAATAGTTATATATCCCCCATAAGCCGTAGCTAATCAAATGATTAACCAACTTGGCTATCTAGAGTGCCTCACCTATATAACTATCTATGTAACTCTAAAACTATACAATTATACACAGATACAATTAGATATTAGCGATATTACAAATAATATTAAATAACCATATACACAATAAAAGACATCATTTATTGCAATGTGATATAGTTGTATGAGTAGTTTTATAGCTATGCAACTATACATTATAGTAGGACTATTACCACCGCGACATCCAGTTGATATCCTATGGATTTATAGAATTATTCCTATGGCAGACCGTTTATATCAGTTCAATCAATCCAGTGGTCAAGTATCCAAGTTGAGTTCAATTACACATATAACAGTGTGTAATAATGTATAAACTATCATGTTGGATTACACATATCATGTCATAATATATAATTCATTCTATCAGATTAAATAAACTATCATTCATATGATCCATCCATAATCAGATAAAATCCATTATGTCACTATCATATTATCACCTATCATATTATTAACATGAAATAATCACATGATCACAATCAACTATGATATTTGATCAGCTATCACTATCATATCATATCGTTCCCATATGCTCCATGGTGCTGGAATATTCACCAACATTTGCCCGAGCAAAATCACCCAGTCACGTAGGCTTTTATATACCAGCACCATGGTTCGCATATGGGGTTGATCAAATCCATGGTATATAACATATCTATGACATTTTTGTCGGTAAATCAATGAAAGATGGGGATGTAACAATCTTAAATCAATGAAAGATGGGGATATAACAATCTTGGGATCTATAGATCATATACCAGTGGTAAATCCCATGTCGCCTCGAATCTTTGGGCGAAACGCGCCTCTGCGATGCTCCCAACAGCATCGAAGGACCGGTCCGGCGGCACCCGCAACGCCACCGTCTGGCCTCGGTGCCGCAAGGTGCGAAAAGTGCCAAAATGCACCGAACATGGCGTGGGTAGTATATGTTCATAATATATTCATTCCAATAATATGAATGGTTATAAATATATATATATATATAATGTGTCTGTAATTTTCGGGCAGCCTGGCAATTGCCAGGTACTGTCCATGTTGGAGGGATCGCAATCGATGCACCATTTCATCATGCTAAGCAGACTACACACGCGGGATGGTGATCCAAGATGATCCAAGATGATCCAGGATGCACCAGCTTGTTTTGCTTCTCGAAAGAACACAGGAAAATCAGGAAAACCATGGTCTTGGGAAGCAAAAATCGGATTTGATGATTGGTGTTTCCCCACATTTCTGCCGCCATTGGGAAAATAATACATCACCTTCAACAATCCCATCAATCAAAATATACGTATATAATCGTATATAATCGCCATTAACCATCATTCATCTCCATTCATCACAATCAATCACCCTCAATCACCATCAATCACCATCAATCACCATTAATCCCTACAAAATACCTATAAGTTATTAATGGTGATTTTCGCTTGGGATCTTATAGGGATTTATGGTGATTTCATAGATATGTTATAGCCTATAACATATCTATGAAATCACCATAAACCCCTATAAGATCCCAAGCGAAAATCACCATGACTCCCTACCACTGGGCTCCCCAAACAATTCTGCGGTGCGGTGACGTTCAGCTCAGGATACTCCTGACGCAGAAAAGGATACATCTGTGATAAGTTGCTTGGAATAGCTATAGATAGGCATTATCTATGGTTGTTGATATATCTGTAGAATCTACTGGTTTAGAATTTTAGAGTTGATATATCTGTAGAATCTACCCTCTTGGTAATTTGTTACATAGCCAGCTATTGAACATGTTCCATTTATAGTGGATTTACCCATCGAAAATTGTGATTTTGCATAGCTTTTTGTATGTTTACCAGAGGGTAAAGTTCGAAGAGTTTTAAGGCGGGGCCCACATTTTGGAGGAATGAGCCGAGCCGACGGCACGATGATTTCATCAAACGAAGTGGGAAGAAAAAAACACCCCTTTTTTTTTGGCATCCTAACTGAAGAACATGATCTGTATGGTCTATGGGGTACCCCTTAAGAAAAACCACTGCCGGGGGTTGCCGGCCTCCAGAAGGGTGAAGGCCTTATATGGCTATGAGTCAACGGCCCCTGGTACCAGGATGGTGCCGCAAAAAATAGCTGGTTGATGTTGACGGATGTGCAAATTCCGTCAAGTATTAGGTAATCTTTCATAGGTTTTGACCCATGTGAATAGATGACTGATATAAACTGTGTCTGATAACATCGGCCCATCCTCCGCATCTGCGATTGGACCAGAGTAAATCCTGCCCCATCCCATTCTGGGACTTGAATTTGAACCATTCCACATCATGACCATGTCAGATAACATGCAGGTGCAGTCTATCATGACCATTGTTGCATCCACGGCAATCCACCCATGCAAGCCATTATCCATAGTTGTCACATGTTTTAGCGCGCATTCGCCGCGCGTCGTGGCAGCAAATCGCTCCGTGCTAAGCGAAAGCCATGCGCAGTAGACTGGCCAAGCCCAGGACAAAAATGTGAAGTTGCCGGAAGTTCAAGGTATAATAGGATATCCACAAAGGCCATAGACAATCTCCAAGGATAATTGATGAAATTGGGTATACCCGTTCACATGAGCTCATTTATCGGCCCTATAGTTTTCTGCAGATGCGGATCATAGATCAACTCCGACCAGGCTACTTGCAGGGATTTCTTCAAGCCACCGACATGGGATTAACATGAGTTGTGACTATCGGATATGAATGGATACTGGTTGGTGGTTGAGCCCTACCCCTCTGAAAAATATGAGTTGGTCACTTGGGATGATTATTCCCAATAGATGGAAAAATAAAAGCCATGTTCCAAACCACCAACCAGGATATGTCGATTTAAGTAACCTTTCGTGGTGTTGGCACCCTCTGCTGCGCATGTCCCTTAAAAAAACATGTTCTCCCAGCGTCAGCCACCTGATTCCAGGTGCGCATCCCGGGATGCCGACACGTGCCAACTTCAGCCGGAGCGTGTCACAGTTGTTCAAAACGGTGCGGAAGTTCAAACCTTTCGAGATCAGGACACTGTCATGGGGATATTCATGGATACCCCCAAATCATCCGAGTCGACCATTTCAGTATTGAAACTGGTCACTTTGGGCTCATTTTTAGAAAAATTTAGAAACACAGGTTGGTGTTGAACAAGTCACCATGCGAGGGCAGTCATGATCAATCCACACCGACCTGCCTATTCTATAGAACCTAGAAAATCGCATCCCAAGGCCAGTTTGCCCAAAAATGGGGTATACCATTTGGTACACCCATAAATGGCAAGTGTTCATTGACAGAATGATGGTCAACCAGTGGATGTGCAATTTTCTCACATGGGTTGCGTGTTATGACTCTTGACAAACTATCACAACTGCAATTCCCCAACTTGAAAAAACAGCTGTTTTTGGATAAGTTCCCAATCCTATCCATCACTTTTCACTTTTCCTGCTGATCTCAAAGTAGACGGCCGAAGCGGACTACATTGAGCCCCCAAAACTTCTACATGCCGAAGAAATCGAGATCCTTCCACTCCACGTATCGTGCACGGCAGCTCGCGAGTTGTTGGTCAATTGCGGCTGTTCGTTCTGGACTTACCATGACCGTCACACAAGGGCACCAGAACTGCAAGACGTCAGAGGTTGGCCTGCAAAGTCGCAGGGGGGGCTCTACCTTCAAGTGTTTCCATGTGCGTGTGACATAATTCATGAACCATCGGCACCTTTTCCTGAAAGGCACTGTCGGGCAATCTCGGCCATTTTGCCATGCTTTAACAGTTTTCTTATACCATGGGGATGTGTTTGGGTAACATACCTGAAGATCAAGATAAAGCTGATACCAAGACCACAGCTGGATCGGTTGTCCATCCTCATGAATAGTATCTATCCATTGCGCTATCTTACCCCAGTCCTCAGTGATGTAGGGTGCAAGCGGGGCACCCAAATGGCTAACTCGCCAGTGAGACATCACTATGGTTTCAGCTGAGTGGGTCGGCCCTTGTGCCACAGAGACTCCCCGTGACTGGTGAGATTTTAAACGCAAAGCAAGATTCCCAACTTGTACAAACATGGTGTGCAAAGAACAACGAAATGCTACTAACTCTCGAACCTGCTTGGATACCACTTTCCATAGTTTGTGTACATGAGGAAAACTAAGGCAGATTTTCCCTGCTGCCTCATCTGCCGCTGCGTTACCTGCGATTGCAAATTCAGTAGCTGGGTCTGCGTCTTCATAGTTCTCTTGGTGGCTGTAAACTTTGAGAATTCCCTTACACAAGAGTTTGGTTCGGTGGGCCCACAGGTGAAGGGTCAATAGCAAATCATGATTGGCAGTTTTGTGAGAAATCTTGGAAAAGAAAAAATCAGGTGTTTCAAAAGCCTGTCGCAACTCATTTACTACAAAGTCATTATCAATCCACAACCGAAATGGCTTACGGAGACGATCCGCAAGAATCAAAGCAGCTATGACAGCTGTCAGTTCAGCTCTAGTGATTGTCTGGATCAGGCCCGGCAATACACTTGCTCCCACTGGTGTGAAATCATGTTGGTTATCTGGCGTGTAAAGGACAATTGCCCAAGATGCTAGTCTGGTCATTTTGCAGGCTGGGTTAAGGCATGACCCATCTGTGAAAATGTCTAAAGTGGGTGGGACTATTTCGGGAATAATTAAATTATGGGTGTTGTCAGGAATATTGTGAAGTGCTTGTCGGAAATAAGGCAATGCTGCAGGTGCTGGAATCCATCCGTGGTTGAAAGTCGCAGGGTGCGACTGCATGGCCAGTTGGCGGTGGTGTTCAGGCATAGATTTTCTGGCATCTTCCAGGCTTGGGCATTCCCAATGTCTGTGAAATTGGCTGTCTGCGTTATGGCAAAAAGGGCAATCTGTACTTTCATCTGCATCCCGATATTTTTGATGGTCAGCAGTGAAAAAGGTGCCGTTGAGGCATTTCCTAAGTATGCTGGCATCACTGGAATTTTGCGGGAAATTTGCTGTAGTAAGGTATGGTGAAGTTTGGGAAATCCCTTGGAATGAGGCTCTGTGTGCAACATGATGCATCGCTTGGGTTTGCCACGCTTCTGTCAGGCGCAGTCTGATGTCTTGTATTGGTTGCTGCCATAAGTCAATTGCGAAACCATTGTGGTCCCAAAAGGTATCATCATCCCAGTGCCAGTTGATTGCATGCAGCCTCTGCAGCAAAACACTGCACGGCCCTACTGTTGGTTTTTTCCTGTCATTGGGCTCAGCGAGTTTGGTCAATACTGGAATGCAGGCATCTGCTTCTGTCATGGAACGGAAGTCCATGACTGTTTTGAGGACTCCATGAAAACCAGGGTCGGCCGAAGGATGTTCCACTAGACTAAGGTGTATGGCGGGTGATGCCCCCCACATATGTTCCCCAAGTCCCCGCAGTGCTCCAGTACGCAGGTGTTCATAGTGTTCATCACCTAAGTGGACCGAGGTTATTCCATGAAGGGCATTGGGCCATGCCACCATTTTAATGGCTTTCAGTTTCTGGGTGTACGGTGCTTGGGATCTGGCAATGTCGGGCCATCTGGACTTGAAATTCTTGATTCTGTTAGTGATGACACTATTTGTCATTTGTTTGGAAAACTGTACGTGTCCTCCTAATTCACGTGTCCACATTGCCACTTGGTGCTCACTGTCTCGGAGGTATTTCCTTTCCTTTTTATCATTTGACCAAACAACTGTCTTCTTTTCGTCGAGTTGAATGTCTAAAAGTTCAGTGATTCTCCTTAGTTGATACAAACCTTCTCGTGTCAGGTGTGCCCTGTTGGAGATAACTTCCATGTTATCAACAAAAGACAAGAGTTTGACTTCAGGGGCTCGGTGTTTCATGAAACAATCGATGAGGCAATTTATGGCAAACATCCCTACCACGCTTAATCCGCAACCTTCCGCACATCCTGTGCTGGATTTTATGGGTGGTCCAGCTGACCCCCTGATGCTGAATCGGCGGACCATCCCTTGTAGTGCCCGAAACCACGTTGATACCAGGTTGGGGTGAACTCCTAAATGTGTAATAACCTCCATCATCGGGATGCGTGGTAGATGATTGAAACATTTAACCACGTCAACTATAGCCCCTGAGATTGTTGTTGAATCATGATTGGCTGCTTCAATGGCAGTTTGAACTCCCATCCAGACTTGCGATGCCGATCTATTTGGAACATTTCCGAAACATCCTGTTGGGGCGTATCGAGAAACATGCCTAAGAATCTCACGAGACCTGATGGATGACCAACATCGATATATAACACTGAACAGGGTTATAGGCCGGTACTGGGAAATTTTTGAGGCGTTTGGGATTTTTTCTAGACTATGGACTAGTCCTACCAGTAGGGATGATGGCCACTCCTTACCACACTCAATGGCGTATAGGAGGTCGAGAAGTACTTGTGTTTGGTACTTCGGCATGTGTAGTAGGTCCTGCCGGGACCACCCATCTGGTCCGACGGCGGACCGGCTCTTTTTCTTTTTGAGTGTGTTGTACCAGGTGTCCAGGCTGATTTTGGTATGTGGCATGGGATCTCCTCGTGGTGTGTTCTTAGTGAAGTGTGCTACAACTGGATCCCAATAGTCAACTGGCATCTCCACATGTCGGTCCCAACGTTTCCGCCACTCATCACCGAATCTCCGGAAGAGCTCCTCCAGGTCTCCTACAAACTTTTCTTGACGCAAGGTGGTTCCGATTTGAATATGGTCAACTTTTTCAGCCCAAATTTTGTCATCGGAGCAGATTATGGGGTCAATCAATCCATCTGGGGAGATGATTGGTAGACTATCATCAAACTGGGGATTATTGGACAGGGTTATGGAGTTATCTTCAAGGTCTATGTCCAAAACTTCACAGCTGCATGAGTCATCTAATATTTCGACTGGGGAAGCTGTGGGCAATTTAATGTCTGCAAAGATTCGATTTGGGTTGGCGACCCGATTGGCTCTTGCGGTATTCTGCAGGTCGCGGATGAGGATTTTTTCAAAGTCCCTAAAGCTGGCTTCAAATATAGAAACAATTTGGTCAATTTCGTGAAGGGTGGGTATCTGCCATCCCAGTTCCCGGGGAGCACCCGCAGTCATGGTTGGGCATTTTTTCCACCAATTTTGGAAACCGAATGGGAAACCGGAGCTAGTGATTATACTTCTCCATTCACGTTGGGCATGTATCTGCTGATTTTGTGAAGCAAAATTATTGCTGTGAATAAGGCGCTTGATGGATTCTAGTCTTCTCATTTGTTTATACCACTGTTGGTGTCTGAGGCATTGACCATGATATTCAGGCTTCACATGGCCATGCCTGGTGGGTTGGAGTGGCCTGGTGTGGTCTTGAATGACCTTCGTCTGCGTTGTGAGGGATCTGCCCCGCTGGCAAGTTTGTAACCCTTTTTGGGATTTAGTGATCATTTTGTCATTTACGACATCTTCAAACCCTTTAGCAATGGCTTCAAGCTGCTTTTGCGTGCAATCATCTGGATTGGTATGGGTGGACGTTTCTGGCAAAATGCCAATGTCTTTTGACCAGTCAATGGCACGTGGCTGCCTCCAAACAAAAGATTTAGGGGGTTTACCAAGGTTTGTGAACTCAGCAAAGAGCGTAAGGTGATCTGGGAATTGATCACAAGTTTCTACTTTATGGAAGAAAGGGATTAATTCCGGGCTAATCCAAATGAAGTCTTTCGTAGTAGTTTTGTGGCAAGTTTTTGAAATTGGTCGGGCGTATTTTTCTTTTCCGAGGACTTGGCACTCTCTCCATCCTTGGTCATATAGTCGCTTTGGCTGTTCGAGCACATCATATTCTTGGTTAAAGTCACCCACAAGGAATCGCTTTCCTTTGGCCATGAGTAACCTATCTACCACTTTTTCCATCAAGGCATTTGTGTGGTTCCTACCTTCCTGTGTGGCGGCTTGTTGTGCGTATCCATAGAAGACCCCTCCTGTCAACCACTGGTCGTTGACAAGAAATGAGTGCATGGCAAATCTGGCTTCATTCCAATCGTCATC